TTTTTTCCTACATTGTCCTTGAAGTAAATGGTGTTGGAATATGTGTTAGGAGTGTTTATGTGAGATAGTAAAGGTTAATATGGTCAATTCCATTGCTAATTAATGCTAAAAGGTGGATTTCTTAATTTGTGTGAAAACATCCAAAAAATCACTTATTTTGGACCGGAGGGAGTATATTCTTTTGCCAATGATTGATGATGATTACAAATGATTGGGGTCCCCTTTATATAGTAGGGGAACCCTAAATAAGGTACGTTTCTATTTACAGTAAAGAATCTTATCGGGACAACTGTTTAACCGCCTAGTACGGATTCGTACTACCCGTACAAATCTATTCCGGAATTTACACCATGATCTTGGGGACGTGACGTGAATCTTGCTCTTTCTGTTACAAACCCATAACGGCATCATCTCGGGGTTGGTCGTACTCGGCTTCGGTGCTCATTGCGTTTTTCGATCTTCGAACCTTATATTATGTCGTCGGTTTCGAGCTTGGTCCATCGGGCTTGAACTCGATCCATCCTGTACTCGGGCTTGAGGTGACTCTTCGAGTCCATGAAATCAGGCATACCTGATTTCGACGGTATACAATCCGGTCTGAGTCGGGCACTCTACGGTATCACGGTTGGTGGCCCCGATTGGGGGCTTGGGGCTTCAAAGTTGTTAACACCGGTATCTCAAGACAATGATACCGTCTATGGGGATGATCAAAGCCATCATTGACCGGTTGGGCAGTGACACCAAGCCTAATGGTTCTTTTCCATGCGTAGCTGGATGAGAGGGTATTTTATATTACTCCTCCTATAACCGTTGTCCATATTTAGATGAGAGGGTAATTAATGAGCATATATAGTTCTATCAATGTCATTTTCTCATCGAATGGTAGCACTGGAAAGTAAAATATTTGGCACATACTGATCATTTTATCACGATTTTCTTAAACACATCCTTTTCGGTATATATACGTCTAAGTATAACGCCACTTAATCCTAAACCTTATCCTAAGAGTAGCATAAGTTTCTTATTCGTTGAATTATTTTGCATATTTACGTAACGGTATTAAACAATAATCCCAATCTATTGACATCTCTAAACACTTCTAGGTGAAAATTAAAAGGTACCTCTTTCCTATTAATAACTAATTTGAACAGTACTAAGGTTCGAAAACATGCTAAAATGACACATATGGTATTCACATTTTGAGGAATTATCTTTGCTATATAAATATGTAAACAAAGCTAGAGGGATATAAATTGACAAGGCAAAAAGAACAGCATCTCTTATGGTTCCAATATTCTAGATAACGCTTTGAATTAAAGTTCTAGTAGCAACTAGGTACCTTTATGTACTATACGGCCAATGACGGACCCATGATTTTAACATAGGGTTGCACTTTTGCATTCAACCAAAATCTGCTTTGTATATCGGGTTTCACTACTAATATATCACTATTTTTAAATACATTTACATATATTCACGGATTATTTGCCGAACTCTCTGGGTGCTGGTGAGCGGTGACCCTTCTAATTACTACATTGGTCCGCCTCTAATACAACAGGAATGAACCACCGGGTTCTGGTTGGATGGTCAAAATCTCGTTGTCCTTACAAATCGGTGGTCTTAGATTTGAGTTTTAGAAATGAAGAACGTCTTCGTACGTAAGAGTATACTACCCCGGCCCCTTAGTAAGCTTACCTGATACAACTCAGGTTAGTCAAATTAGTTCATATTTTGAGTACCAGAAAAATGGCTCAAAAATATTCTTTTGGTTGGCTAATGTTGGGAAGAATGTTTATGCTAATGTGGTGAAATGCACTTTGTGTAAATTCATGATTAATCTAGCTTTTTTACTTCTTCTGGCAAAGAACAACTTCAAAGGATAAAACATTTTCCGATAGAAAGTTGTATATAATTAATCTGATCAGCTAAGTTGGAATCCAATATATATATATATATATATATATATATATATATATATATATATATATATCTCATTTGCTACTCATTTTTTAAAATGCGACAATATATCATGCATAATTAATTAAATTGTTTCTAAAAGCAAACCTTATTATCTTACGCTTTATTTTACTAATCGATTTAGTTATCACTTTGCGACAACGCCTATTAAATTAATCACGATGTTGCATTGCATAATTAATTAATTAATTACGTACCATATATATACTCTTATTTTAGATTGCGACACTGTATAATTTTAGTATCTAAATAATGCGCCCTAATGGCTATGACTACTTACTATATTGAACAAAAATGAAATAAAATAAATAATTTTGCCCATTTTTGAAGGTAGCTAGATATATCCAAAATATTTACAGTATTTAAACAGATAACGTATTGTGTTACGCTTTATTTTACTAATTTATTTATTTACCAAGTTGCTACGATTTTTTTGTAGGTAAATTTAATAAAACCTTAAATAATAAATTCCATAAATTGTAGAAAATAATCAACAACTTCTGAAAAGACTCAATAATTTTTAAAAGTCAAATTTATAAAATGAATATTGCATAAATAATCCAAGTAATTATTACTATTTATTATTCCTTTTTTTCTTTCACCATTACACTCTAGCAAGAAATTCAATTCTGATAAATATGTAAAAACATCATGTATTGCCTTTCTTTTTTATTACTAATCAATTTATTTATCGTTCCACTACACTTCCTGGATCCCGCTATACCAATCGCGATGTTGCATCGTATTAACTTAATTACTTTCCATATCTATAATTTTCATTTTAGATTTCATGTACTTATCATTTTAGTAACTAAATAACGCGTTCTAGCGGCTAGATAACAACTTATTAAATAAATAACGCATAACAAAAATAATATTTGTACAAAATTTGGACTGTAGGTATCTGCAAATATTTATAATATTTAAACAGATAACGTCTGATGTGCACTCCATTTTACTAATAAGTTTATTCCTGACCTTGCGATAAATTTTACTATAGGTAATAATAATAAAATTTTAAATATTTATTTCTATAAATTATGAAAAATAACCAACTTTTGATAAGACTCAATACATTTAAAAGTGTAAATTTATAAAATACATACTATTGTAAAAAAATTAATTATTATTATTATACCTTTTTTTTCACTCTCTAGTTAAAAATTCGAATTTTGAAGAGTTTGGTAGCCGTCATTCGTTTCATATAATCTTGCAACACCCCCC